ATCTATCTATCATCTATCTATCTATCTATCTATCTATCTATCTATCTGTCATCCATCTATCATGTCAATCTATCTGGCAAATGTTCTAGAGTTGGTATTAGATACAGGATATTATTTTCCTGTTTCAAAGGAATCAGGTGAAAACAGAAGCTGCATTAATGTGAAGGTGCTCATTCCTTCTCAGATGTGTTTTCCCAAAAGAGTCTTCTTAATGAGCAAAGGAGAATATTCAGGTAATGTTACAAATTACACAAAGCAAAACAAAAGAGGGTGGGATTTTGGTGTCATTTATAAGAGGAGACCAATTTAGGACAAGGCAAATGCAAAGACTGTTGCAACTGTAAGGAAGTTGCAACTAACTGTATGTATTCTCCTGCTCAGGTCACAGACAACTGTACCCTTCTGAAGGAAAAATATGATTCATTTTCCACAAAGGTAAAACTGATGTTCTTATTAATTCTTTTCACAAAATGAAAACCCTCACTATTTTCTCCAGATGAATATGTTGTTTCCAATAATATTTTCCCCAAAAATATTTTTTATTTTATTTTACAACAAATCCATCTTTCAGTTATACAGTCTGTCGACTGGGTACATATATCTTGTGCAGATATTTATATTTTGTATACATTTCTTACCAGGGTTACATTCATATTAAAAACAACTCAACTTTATATATCTTATCATTATAACAATGTTCATTTAACTTCTTACTTTATTTTCCAACCATTTATAAAATAAATCCCATATCATATACTGTAACATTCCATTCCTTCTTGTTCTTTAATTGCCAATGTTAATCTATTCATTTCTGCACATTCCAATATTTTCAAAATCATATCTTCCTCTATCAGAATCTTTTCATTTTTCCAATTTTGAGCAAATACAATTCTAGCTGCTGTATATATACATACATACATACATACATACATACATACATACATACATACATACATGTATATGTGTGTTTTCTGAGGTTTTCGTGGGTATTTGTATGTGGATCTTTGGTTATTCGGGTTTTCTCCCATGTAAAATTGGAAGTATCTAGGTGAAGTTTCGATGAAGTCTCATTCATCATCTTCAGGCTTGTGTCTTCGGCTTTGTGCTTCTCGGAGTAATGTGAGCTTGCAGCTGCTTCTTTCTTTTAACTGCTAGTGGGGATGTGACTTGATTGGGTGGGGGCTTGGCTGTGTTCTGATTGGCTGGGGGTGTGTTCTCATTGGTTGGGGGGTTGGCTGTGTTCTGATTGGCTGGGGGTGTGTTCTGTTCAGGTGGGGGCTTGGTTGTGCTCAGGTTAGTCTTAGTTGTCGGGGGATTTGAGCTGGTGAGCTGTGATCCTGTTGTTTGGCTTCACGTTTGTGGTCTTGCCACATCTTCATGGTGGGCGTCAGTTCGCTTCATGTATGGGTCGGAGGGGTTTGGAGCAGGTAGTGATGCAGCTGCGGTATGGCTTCTGGTCCATGGTCAGAATCACCAATCAGAACACAGCCAAACCCCCTACCAATGAGAACACCCCCCCCACCCAATCAGAACACAGCCAAGCCCCCACCCAATCAAGTCACACCCCCCACTAGCAGTTAAAAGGAAGAAGCAGCTGCAAGCTCACATTACTCCGAGAAGCACAAAGCCGAAGACACAAGCCTGAAGATGATGAATGAGACTTCATCGAAACGTCACCTAGATACTTCCAATTTTACGTGGGAGAAAACCCGAATAACCAAAGATAGATAGATAGATAGATAGATAGATAGATAGATAGATAGATAGATATATTTTCTTAAGTTTTCGCGGGTACTTACATGTATGGTATTCAGCTTTGTTCGGGTATTTTCCGACGTCATTATAGTTGTGCTTTTAAAGTTGTAGCAATGTTTCGGCAGAATCTCATCTGCCATCTGCCAGAAGCCTGATGATGGCAGATGAGATTTGCCGAAACGTTGCTACAGCTTTAAAAGCACAACTACAATGACGTATGAAAATACCCGAACAAAGCTGAATACCATACATGTAAGTACCCGCGAAAACTTAAGAAAACATACATACATACATACATACATACATACATACATACATACATACATACAAATATTTTTTTCTTTACTATAGTTTTTGGGTAAAATCCTCAATAAAAATATCTGAGGTTTTAAGTGTATGTTTTGTTTTATTATCTTTTCAAACCATGTGTGTATTTTTGTCCAATATCTTTTAGCTTCTGTACATGCCCACCACTTTCTAGGGGTATGGGGGAATTAAAGAAGAGTGATGAATAGCTTACTATTGCTTTTCAACAGGAATTATAAGGAAAAAGGCCACATTCAATTGACAATGCAGTTTTGAATCAATCTAATGAATGAACTACAACTTGGCTAATGTCCATGCTTTTCAAGTTTGCAATGTAGTTGACCAATTAAAAAAATCTGTCAGAGAAAACTTTATTAAGAAGCAATGTACAAAATAAATTGAAGAAAATTAATTGCCAAGCCTAGCCATGTTTATCAAAATTCTAAAGAAAAGAAAAATATGTTTGGAGAAATGTATATCAAATGGATATACATTTTATTATGAACATGGTTAAAACTGCTCAAAATGGTAGGGAACTGCCTGGTTGAATTTACCAGTGGGGGAGGAGGAAACCTCAAAGCACTGGTGGGATTCAAAATTTTTTACTACCAGTTCTGTGGGTGTGGCTTGGTGGGCGTGGCAGGGGAAGGATATTATAAAATCCTCATTCCCTCCCCACTCCTGAGGGAAGGTTACTGCAAAATCCCCATTCCCTCCCCAACCCACTAACCTGCTTTCCAGCTCCGTTCTCCTGTGCAGGGCAACAAAAGGAGACCCAGCCGATCAGTTGGGGCTCGGGAGGCAGAGAATAGATGGGGGTGGGGCCAGTCAGAGGTGGGATTTGCCGGTTCTTCAAACTACTCAAAATTTCCACTACCGGTTCTCCAGAACTGGTCAGAACCCGCTGAATACCACCTGTGCCTCAAAGGAAATGAAAACACCTGCAGCTGACAGAATTGTACAATGAGATTACTAAAAAATAAAAACTGACACTTGCATTTATCCTTTATTCACTGTGCACCATCCTATATTAATGTCAATGACAAAGGATCAGGACAATCCATTAAACTACAACAAAGAAGATTTATTCAAGCTTATACCCAAGAATCCAGCTAAGGTTCAGCATTATAATGGAGCAGAGCTGGTATTCAGCTGGTTCTGACCAGTTCTGGAGAATCGGTAGCGGAAATTTTGAGTAGTTTGGAGAACTGGCAAATACCACTTCTGACTGGAGATTTTACAGTATCCTTCCCCTGCCACGCCCACCAAGCCACGCCCACAGAACCGGTAGTAAAAAAAATTGAATCCCACCACTGTATTGGAGCTAGATAAGGGTCAATCAGATTCAGAAGGGGAGGGACTTGGACCATCTGTGGGAACCTAATGACTCTAAGCTGATGATGCACATAACTCCACCTACTCACCCCACCCCATTCTGCCTGTTCTTCTCCTACAATTAACTGCATAACTGGTTTTGTAGAAAGAGAATTGAATTCCTTTCCCCCTGCTGTTGTTGGGTTGTGTGTATGTGTGGGAATTGACAATACAGCTTTTTATTGTTTTGAGGCAGAAAGGGGCACAAGCCTTGGGGATTGTCCTTGTGATCTGCACTTTTCGGGATCTGCCACATGCCACTTACCTTCAGGTGGGGTTTCTGTTGGCATACCCCGCCGTAAGCCAACCTAAAGCTTCTCTAAAGTGGATTCAAAGAATGCTCTTCCGCAGCCTGTGCAGCCTACAAAATCCAATCTGTCCCATTCGCACATGAGTTTCAGAGGTTCCAAATGGCATACAAGAGCATAGACCTCTTGCATGACCTCCAAGGTCCCCCCCAAAAATCACATAGAATGGGGCATGCTTTTGAGAATAATTGTTGTCGGATGTGGGTGAGCATTAGCATGTCACTGAAAACATCATGGTGTGTCACCTTTGCTATCACTGTGGTAGCCTATGGATGTATTGCCATACTGTTTCTCTCATTCACCTACCTACTGCACTTTTCCAGAAATTTCCATTCGTGACCTCCTAAGTTTGTCTGCCTTTGCATTAGATCCATGCAATCAAGGAAGAATTCTACTGTATATTCATGAGTGACAAAATTCAGAATTTCCTCGATCAAATATTTTTTGTATATTAGGAATATCTCATCAAAGAAGGAAATTTGAGCACGGGAGCTGTTGAGATGATTGGTGATTTCTTGAATGAAGAAGCTGGATTTCATAACTCATTCCTTATTTCTGTTATGGATCATTTCCTCTTTTTGAATAACAGGTAAACGAGATGGTGGGGGGAAACTAAAGGCTATTTTTTAAAAAATAAATTATATTTGCTATCTTCTTGGCAATTATGACAGTTGA